TTCTACATCAACATGTGTCCCCTCTTCTTCATGTCTCTTCTACATCAACATGTGTCCCCTCTTCTTCATGTCTCTTCTACATCAACATGTGTCCCCTCTTCTTCATGTCTCTTCTACATCAACATGTGTCCCCTCTTCTTCATGTCTCTTCTACATCAACATGTGTCCCCTCTTCTTCATGTCTCTTCTACATCAACATGTGTCCCCTCTTCTTCATGTCTCTTCTTCATCAACATGTGTCCCCTCTGTGGAAAGAGACTCTGAAAGTTTCAGGAACAAAGATTCTCTCTCTTTTTGATCCATTTCTATAAAAACCTGTCTGAAAATGAGCTGATCAGATTTTGGCCACTTTATGATGTCATAACGATGTGTTGTCTTGTGTAACCATTAGCCAATCAGCAACCAAGGTAACCCCCCCCCCCTTATCACCTGAATCTCCTCCTAGAGCACCATTGAGTTCTTTGTAACCAAATGTCTCTCAGAGGGGCGTGGGGAGGGGCTCCTTATTTTCATCTAAAGTAACAGACAGAGAATCAGCACTTTGGAAACAGGGCTGAAACAGAGGGGATTATGGGTAATGCTGCAATGATCTGTTGTTTTAGCCAATCAGAGACAGGTTCTGGATATATCTGAGACCTGTGATATATTGATGAAAAACAGTATAATGGGGACCTTTAAAGTTACAACAGACCCTTTGAGTGCAACCTTAATGCTGATGTGGCCCCCGATGAATTTGAGTTTGAGACCCCTGATCTAACCCATTGAAACTACAACACCAAGAAAAGATTACACCTTCCAGATCTTTCCTTGACTCCCTGGTGTCGATCAGCTACCTGACCAACGGGCTGACGTCTCTCGAGCGTTTCCCCATCAGCTTTAAAACCCAGTTCTCCGGACACTGCTTCCACCACGTGGTTCTGGGCGTTTACTGCAACGGGCGCTACGGGTCGCTGGGCATGAGCCGGCGCCCCGACCTGATGGACAAACCGCTGACTCACCGCACGCTGGGAGAACTGGTGGCCGACTTCGAGAGCTCCTACAAGAGATACCAGCACACTCTGAAGAAGGTGAGAGAAGGGTTGGAATCACAGTCAATAACACTTCATACCAACGCACGACTGAATGAAACAGGAACTAAATAAAATAAGAATAAACCAGAATTCAGTAGAAAAACGTGTCTTTTCCCCCTTCCTCTCCAGGTGAAGATCGGCCTGTATGTGCCTCACGACCCTCACGTCTTCCAGCCAATCGAATGGAAGCATTTGGTGTTGAACGCCGCCCGACTGGGACCTCAGGAGATGAGGAAGGAGCTGGAGAAACACGGCCGGGACATGAGGATGAAGGTAAAACTCTATGCACACATTAACATACACCTTAGGGTGTTATAAAAAAAGAATCCCTTAATCTTATCCCAAAGAATCGCACTTCTGGTGTTTTCCTCTATTTTGTTCGCTGACGCTTCGGATAAGAACACTAAACAAATGCTTAATGTTCAGAACCTGATACTTGCTTTCATTACATTACTACACCGCATTACATACAGCTAATGCTTTTGTCCAAATTGACGTACATACACTTTGTAGATTTAGCTCTTTGGAGCGGGGGTTGAACCAGCGACCCTCCGATCGACGGTCGTTTAACCCCTGAGCCACATTCTCCCTTTTATTAGCAGAGTTGTCTAATGGCGCATTTCCACTGCAGGGCCTCGCACGGCTTATAGTATAGTATTTGTTTATGAGTCCCCGAGGGGAAAATGGGTTGCAGCACATCACAGAGGCATTTCAAAAGATAAGTCAATACATCACTGACAACAACATAGACACAGATTAAAACAAACAGACATAAGAAAACCAGATATCGGCAGACATGACAAGGGGCCTATAGGGCCTCGTTTGCGAAATACGGGGGACAGGGCCAGACCAGCTGGGTAAACAGTGCGTCCTAGCCATCATTTATTCAGGATGGCTTGTGGGACGAAAGACAGCCTGGATCTGTTCTTTTTGAAATAAGGGGCACGATATCTCCGCCCGGATGGCAACAGTTCAAAGTAAGAGGCAAGAGGGTGCCTCAGGTCACTCACAATATTGTGTGGCAATTTAAAAACTCTGTCCTTATACTGTATAAGCATTCTATATTAGCAAATGAGATTCCTGTCAATTTACTGAACAATGTTACGGAATAGTTAGTCCTTGGTAGGCCAGGCTCACTTTATGCTGCGTTTCCCTTATATATATATGTACTGTATATATATATATGTATATGTACCATATAGTAAGTAACTCGATTCAGCAAATTGACTTAATGTTCTCCTCAATGTGACTCAAAGCTGATTAGATCTATTCAACCCGGTTACCAGGTTCC